GACCAAAAACAAGCCTCATTATCTTCAGTATACAAGTGTCATTTCGGACCTTACAGCTTTCATAGAAATCGCTTCTGGACCGTCAAAGAAAAAGTTTGAGAACTCCTGGTTTACGCATTATACACATCAGGACCAACTTGACAACTTGACAAAAGTTTGAGGGGGGTTTGACCCCCCCCCCCCCTCCCCCCTCTGCCTTATCCATCGTTACCGTCACTTCCATTTGAGTAGGGCCGGCCCCCTCCTTAATAACGACTCCCAAGCCATCAAGAATGACCCCATAATTTATAGATTACCATTCTGCCGTTCTTTGGAGGGGCCGGGCGTTTTTCTACACTAACCTTTTCATGCACTCCGGCTTAACATAAACAAGCATGCTAAGATTGTTTTGAAAAGAAGCATAATTTCGACTCAGTTTCGCATAACCTAAAAATAAGAATACGGCCAGTCACCCCCCCCCCCCCCCTCCCCTTAATGCATCCGCCTTCACGCACCCCCTTCCCCTTGTCTTTCCCTTATTCGTCGTTACTGTCACTAATTTTTAGTGCCATTTCGTTGTCTTGCTTTCTCACCGGCTCCTCTCTTCTTTTTCTTTCCTCTTTTTTGAACTCTCTCTCTTTTCTTTACTTTTTGTTCTCTTTTCTTTTATCTTCTCCTTTTCCCCCTTTTTTTTCCCCTTCTTTTTTTCTTCCTCTTTTTTCCTTCTCAATTTTTTTGCTTCGCCAATAGGGGGGGCCGCGGCCGTTTCGGCCCACCCCTGGATCCGCCACTGCGCATTACTTAGCTGGAAATGGAGTGGGGTTACCGACCCGCGCCTAGAATCTATTTGCAAAAAAAACGGATGCGTTTAGAATAGACCCCTTGTTACTTACTTTTTCTTTCTTTTTTCCTTTTGACAGTGCAAAGAGAATGAGTGGTTTCATATTTCATGACAATACTGGCCATCACAGTACACTTTTGTCTCTGAGAAAATAGCATTCTAGATCTACTTCTCTAGACTCTATGCATTGCCCCATTCATTCTTCTCTCCAAAATTTAGTAGTGTCCCATATGTTCACTTCTGTGTAAGCTCACACCCTTCACAACACTAGCTACAGCTAGTACAGAGCGTAAATGTTCGTACAAAGCAAGCAACCATTCACCTTCTACAATGTGTAACACTCATGACATACAAGAGAATCACATTATGCACTGAAATAATTCAAAATCATTCTTACTGCCTGCCATTTTCGAAGAGTATGTGATTAAGTCTTCTCTCAGCGAATTTCTAAATCTTGCGATTCGATTCCGCATTAACAACAACTGTAGATAGATCGGATATTAGAACTGAAAATTGCCTATGCACTAGCCTCTTGTCGATGCCCTCGCGCTGTTGGAGTCTCTAAAATCTGACGAGCGAAGCGAGTCAGAGAAACCGAGGCGCTTGCGCGGAGGGCCTCTTGACAAGTGATCTGAATTATATATTCATGAGACCCGATTTCCTACTGAATTATGCATGTCACAAGCAAAGCCCGGAAATCGCTCAACTTCCTTCAACGGAATCTTTACAAGTGTCCTGAGAAGATCAAGCAGCAGGCTTATACTTCCCTGGTACGGCCAATCTTGGAGTATTCGTGTACAGCATGGGATCCCTACTTCCAGAAACACATTTCAGCCCTTGAATCAGTGCAAAGGAAAGCTGCCCGTTTTGTGAAAGGGAACTATCAGCGTACGGCTAGCGTCAGCCAGATGCTGCAGGAGCTGAAGTGGCCTTCACTTCAAGATAGGAGGACAGTTGCACGTCTTACCATGCTGTTCAAGATCAACTCTCATGAACTCCCGATTACCATCCCGGAGAAGTTTATCCCAGTCGCCAACAACCCCAACAGACCAGTCACCCGTAGTCAGAGACCAAGCCAGTACATCAACTACTCTGCCAGGACCGAAGCATACAAGAACAGCTTCTATCCTCGTACCATTCAGCAATGGAATCGACTACCAGCCACCATCATCAAAGAGTCAACATCGGCCAAGTCCTTCAATACCAAAGTTTGGAGCTACATGCAGAATGACCACTCAGCCCAGCTGTACACAGGCGGGATAGAGCGTCGATGTGGCTCTACTTCATCTATAAATTAGATGATGTCTACAACCCACTCATTTTATGAGCACCTTATTATTTTGTTTTTTGAACTTTGCATCAGTTGTGATGTTTGTTGACAGTTTGCGATGCCACGGAAATCTGGACGTATATATCAATTGGTCCTGTCCAGTACCACCTTAGATGTAGATGTCTAGACCGCAACGATTGTGTGTGTGTACGTGTGTGTTCGGGATTGCCCAACTAGGCTAGTCTGCAAGCACAGACCCTAATTTGACACTTTATCAAAAAATCATTGTGCCTTGAGAGAAGCCTAGCCCAGCTATCTACTGGTACCTACTGGTTGTACCAACATAGGTCAGGAGCAGCTATAGTACGTGGCATATGGTAGTCTTATAGTGCACACTCTCTTTTACGACTGACCAGGGTTTGTGCTTGCAGACTACAACTAGGCGGCCAGTCTCGCTCTGACGGAGGGAATTCGCACAGAGCGGTAGATATTACGTCATAGTAGCTCTCTCTGATTGGATGACTTTCACCGAACTCTGCTGGGTCGGAATATTCGCCAAACAAAGTAAAACATAAGAAATTCAGGGCACTTGTCAAGAGGCCCTCCGCGCAAGCGCCTCGGTTTCTCTGACTCGCTTCGCTCGTCAGAATTTAGAGACTCCAACAGCGCGAGGGCATCAACAAGAGGCTACCTATGCACGAGAACGGACATATCCGCGAGAAATATATCCGAACTATATTCCGGATTGCGAACTTTAAGATAAAGTGAAGTAAACAATGTAAAGTAATAATGATGATGAATTGATGATGATGATAATAATAAGAATAAAAAATAGTAGTAATGATAATTATAACAAAAATGATGGTACCAGTGATAAGCCAATTTTTTTTAGCGCATAAAATATTGCATAAGTATGTCCCTCTGCGCTTCTATTCGGAATTATATATAAGAAGAAGAAAAAAAGAAAAGCAAAGAGAAAATACATCACAGAGTTCCTTTTATCTGTTTGACATTTGGAATAAGTTATGAACAATAAATTAAACTCGAAATGAGAGGAATACGTACGGTACCAACTGGAGGGTTAGAAAGAAAATATTTTATTTTCCATTCAAAAATGATATAGGAAATGTTGCAATTAAGGTTACTTGCAGTAAAATCCCGCATTTCATTAATTTTTAACTCAATTTTCTGACAGTAGGTGGGGCACTTTCCTCTCATATCCCAACTATGCATCCTCCTTTATTTCAAGGACCCGTTTCACAAGCATTTTTCAATGACATATGACAAAAATCAGTGACAAATCTGCCAATAACCAATCAAAAGCAAGGATTTCACTATAGCTTATAACAAAAACTGTCATTTGTCACTGATGACAAGTTTTGTGAAATGGGGCCAAGGTTTGTAAAATATAATGGAATTTCTTTCACAACTGAGGGAAGACAATTTAAATATTTCAGTTTAAGGGGCGATGGGGTGATGGAAACGGAGGGGGGGATACATCTTCCCATTTTTTTTTAAAGGGGTATTTTCCCCCTTTGAAATTTGTAATAAATCTATGTTGATATTTAATGGAAGTATAATATTTTGAAAGTATAGTAGGCCTATGTCGAAAGCAAAAATGATCACAATTTACAAAAGAGATGGGATGTCGGACGCCCTACCCCTCCCTTCAAATCTGTGATTTTCTTACAGTAATCCATGATCACCTCAGATTTGGTCTATGTAGCTTGTCGAGTTTGCCCGCACCTTTTCTGATCATAATAGTGAACATTTATAATGCGCCATGTCTGTCAAAGTTAACACTCCTGGCGCAATTATGAGAAAATTATTGTGGGCATACGACTACCAAGACTGTAATGCATGAAAGTAAAATACACATAAGTTTAAGTTTAACATACTTCAAGACAAGTATAATTCTTTTTGTGATATAAGTATAATTCATGTGTGTTTTTTTGTAATCGAGATAATTTTGTGTCTCTGATGTACGTATTATTATTCAATTAATAAATGATGGGGGGGGGGGGAGAAGGAAAACAAAGAAGAAAAGTTTAACATACGTTTAAAATTACAAAATCATTTATAACGTAAATGCAGGGTTACATGAATTGAAACATATAGGATGTACTGTTGTTAATATCAAGTACAAAGCATTAATTAAGTTATATATTAATAGTACAATGTAAGACATAATTCAACAAGCTAATATAATGCTGAGAAGAGAAACGTTTTTAGCTGAGATTTGCGAGTAGGAGTTCTCATTTCTAGCGGAGGTGAGGAGGGAGTGTACCCGGGAGTGTATTTTCGAGGCTTGAGCGGCACACCCCGTCGAAACCAATATAACCAGTATATTCGCTTTTTATATGACGGAAATAAAAAAATAAAAAAATACACAATATTAAAGACGGGGTTCTCGGGCTGGTCTTGTTAGTATGACAAGGGTATGTCTAAAACCTTGCCACTGGAGATCTTTTGCTGTTCATACGGTATCAGATGGCTTTATAGCTTTATTAATATACTTGCGTCGGTCTGTATATATAGACATACCAGGTCGAAGGACATAGGGGTGTCTAAATGTCTTCTTCCTTTTGCTTTTGTCTAAGAAAATCGTCACTTCTTTCATTCTCCCTTTTGTGGATCGTTGTTTATCTCCCATTGCTTCTTCTATTGTGTGGCGTGACCCGCAAAGTTGTTTCTTTTCACAGCCGAGAGTTGCCGAAGGAAGAAAACGACGGTGAAAAATGGTGAAGGAATTCGTGCGCTCCAGCGGGCCTTTTGTTGGGCGTGGGGGCTGATGTTTTGTCCGGGACGGGCGTGTATATGACATGTACGTAATAACATGAGTAAAAGTTGGGCGGGTGAGTTACTCCTGTATAGCTTTTCCAGCTCCATTCATTCTTTCGTTTCTTCAAGGATTTAAACACGGCCCCACCATAAAAGCGAGCTTGTATCTAGAAACAACGCGCTTTTTCCACGCATACATTTTAATGTTCCGTGAGCGTAATGGTCGCACCGACCAATCATTAATGGTGCTCCGTTCTGAACCTTATTACGAAGCTCCGATGAGAACTCACCGATGGAATTCTTTCAAGAGATATAAAACAGAATAACCGACGTTCTTATTTACCTCAAGTTGTATCCTTCGAGCTTCTGCTGAGAGGTAAGCAACTGGGCTTGGCCTATTTTCCATCGCTATTGTTAAAAGGCCTCCACTTTGAAGGGTCGTGATAAGAAGTTTATCTTGTTTATTCGAACCTACTGTTCTCTATGCAGTATAGCCCGAGGGGTGTGTTATTAACGTCATTCATTGGATCCCTTTAATTGATTGAATCTTGTTTTGCTACATATGCGACCGAAACTATATATATATATATATATACTCAGGACAATAGTAGCGAATGCCATATATCTATATGGTTTTGAAGATATCAAAATGGACTGAAATACAATTAAAATGTATGTATTATAACGTAATTGTGATTTTGTTTGTCGCTATCTAATTTATATTACTGTTACGGAATATTGATAAGGAAAGGATTGTTAAAAGCGATTGGAATACAAAATTGTGAACTTATGTTGAATTACGTAATCGCGCAGGTTTCGTGGTTAGCATTCAGAACACTTTTATCATTCATTTTCTTCTTACTTTTTAAATATTTATTATTTTTTCCCCTCTTTGTCTTCTTTCCTCGTGTAACTATCATGGTAATTATTCATATTCCTTTTACCTTCTTTTTAATTCCGTATGTTTTCCTCTATCATCTATACTTACTATATTTATTTGTTTCTTTTGGCTCAGTGGTAGGCCCCGGGTTCGAAACCAGGTCGATGCGCTAGTGTTCTTTGGTAAGGCATTAATCAATACCAAGTCCCTCGGAGAGGACTCTGTCTCCTGGTTTCTTACTTACGAACATACACATGTTATCTTAGTAGTCAGGTAAAACAATCAAACAAACAAGCTGACTACCTTTTCTGTCTTCCCTTATTTGTTGTCCTTTACCATCAATTTAATAGTCATTTCCTTTATCCTTAAGTTATCCTTACTTTGAATTTCTCTGTTTGGGGGTTGTTTGATTGTTGGTTTTTTTTTTCTCTCTCTCTCTCTCTCTCTCTCCTATATCCTTCCTCTCCTATATCCTTCCTCTCTCTTTCTCTCTATCCTCCTCTCTCTCTTTCTCTATCCTCCCCCTCTCGCTCTCTCTCTCTCTCCCTATCCTCTCTCTCTCTCTCTCTCTCTTTCCCCTATCCTTCCCCTCTCTCTCTCTCTCTCTCTCTCTCCTATCCTTTCTCTCCCCTATATCCTTCCCCTCTCTCTCTCTCTCTCTCTCCCTCTCCTACCATTCCTCTCCCATATATCCTTCTCCCCCCTCTCTCTCTCTCTCTCTCTCTCTCTCTATCCCTCCCTCTCTCTCTCTCTCTCTCTCTCTCTCTCTCTCTCTCTCTCTCCCTATCCTCCTCTCTCTCTCTCTCTCTCTCTCTTTCCCCTATCCTTCCCCATCAATCTTTGGGTGTATTAAACCCTTTGGAACGCAATTCGTCTTGTGGACTTTCGGTCTACAATGGTCCAAAATCAAAACTTTCCCCTCCACAACAGAAATATTCCCAGTTCGAATGGTGACATCGTGTATGACACATTATACAGGAATTTCACCAAAATCCCTTTTTACAGAAATGCTTTAATACTGACTGTCAAATTGTTACCTCCAAAGTAAATTACTTAAAAAAACAGACCGAAGGTTAACATCCAGCTTGAGTTGGAAAATCGACGATGAACAGATCCAAATATTTATAAAGCGAGATATTTCTCTCAAAGAAGAACGTCTCTTTTTCATGTTTTTATCAATTATAATCACCTGGGCCTAATCGAAACTTTTCAATACCTCTTCGAACATTTCCCTAAAGATTTCAAAGATTCATTTTGACGCTCTTAAACCAAATCACCATTAAATGTTTTTTGTCATAGCCGTCCCTGATAAAGGATTAGTCGGCCGCTATTGTAAAAAATAGTTAGCCGGGGAGAACTAAAAATCGATATCTATTGAGATCGGTTCTTAATCGTTGAGCTTACCGTCTGCGAATCTTCTTTGAAACTCCTAAGCGCATTTCGGGCGTTCCTGTATTCGCATAACACATTAAATTTTGATGGTGTACTTTTTTTATGAGTCAAAACTCTCTCTTAAAAACGGATTTCCTTATTTTCGTTTTTTTATAATTATTATCAAGGTCCAGATAAAATAGAACCTCATATAGCCTGTTGAGGGCATTAACTATAGTTATGTAAAAAGGAGGCGCGATGGCTCAGTGGTAGAGCAGTCGCTTTGGGATCGGGAGATCCCGGGTTCGAAACCAAGTCGATGCGCTAGTATAGTGCCTTTTGATAAGGCATTAATTCCAACTACCGAGTCCCTCGAAGAGTACTTAATGCCGTCGGTCCCCTGGTTACTTACTTACAATCCTACAATTTTTTTCTTAGCAGTCGGGTAAAAAAATAAAATAAAACGCTATAAAATGAGTAAGTCCCTTTTGCTCTTAACATACAAGATTATGAGACGAGATTAAAGGTAAAGACCAGTATTGGAAACGCCCCAATTTCAAAAAATGAAATGGAAGCTCTCATTACCAATCATGTGAAAGAATATGTTTTGACTAATACATGATGATAAAAAATTTGCCGGGAAACCGCCTACTAATTTTATATATTTGGTAAATTTGTTTCTCTCATGGTCTGTGAGAGATATAGGGTAGTCCCATATACATCTTTCTGTGTATAGTGCTTGTAACTTTACGAAGAATGGGCCAAATTTCTTATCATTTTGAAGACTCCAGAACCTTGCAGATGCTAGATGCAAGATGATCAACCTTTTCTGATCGATTCCACAACGTTTCTTTCACAATGCAATCGCATGACCATAACTGGTCTTTACCTTGAAGAGACGAGATGGTTTAGGTACGGTTTAAATCACAGTTACATAAACCAAACCCTGTTCTTGATTGTTCATTGTTTTATATTGGCTAGTCAATAACCAAGATAATAGGAATGCACGGAATTGCTGAAGAACAGCCATTGGCTGAAGCAAGTGATTCGTGTTGAAATAAAATAAAATGAATGAAATGAATGAATGAATCCTGAAGTATACTTTAATCAATCTATAATTCAGAAATCATTTCAATTGTGACATGATTTAGAGTTATATTGTTTGTGTGGCTTCCGAAGGGACTTAGGAATCATTCTCTTTAAAGGCATCGTTTAGCAATGTTAAATATGAGATGCATGACCCTACGTGTTATCAGTGTCTGTGATATAGTGTATATTGAAGCCCTAAAAAAGTTGCGCTCCAAAATGATCATGAAGTGCCTCAAAAAAGTAAAAATCTTTGAGTTTTACCATACTCATTTTCCCCAGTAGACTGTAGTGTTATCAAAACTGTTCGGAAAACGCAAAATGAAATTTCGATTTCAATCATAAGTATCTTGATAATCAGACAGGCGATCGGCTTGTAAAAGTCATAGGGTTCCTGACTGACCTAAAGGTTTATAATTATCATTGCAGCATGAGCTAAATCCTGGATTTTGTTTCAGAATCTGAGACAAAGTAACCCGATCCCTTTAAAAAGAAATACGGAAGTAAAGGATAATTAAATGGGTAATGGCAACAATAATTCGAACTAAGTCTATTCCGTACCGCGGTACGAATAACCCACTGACAGATATTGATTATCATCAGATGGGAATCAATTTCGAAAGTATTCCATATCAATTGGCACATTTTAAAAAATTATTTAAAACATGATTGTATTAATGTATTCTAAAATATAGGCCTAAACTCGCCCTCAAAAATAAATTTGTTGTGTAGTTCATGATTTTCTCATAATTAATTTTATTTAAACAAAAACAAGATGTTATTTTTCGTAGCGGTTCTACATAATATGTTTGTTTTTGGGGGGTATGATGAGGGGGGGGGGGGGGGGCTTAATCTCATCCTAAAGAATTCACCAAACTCTAAGGCCCGAATTCACAAAGGAGGTTTGTCGACAAACCTTGGTTTTCGTGCGTCATACGCGTTTCGACGCGTTTTTTCAAACCAAAAAAAAAACGCGTAAAAACGCGTCATATGACGCACGAAAACCAAGGTTTGTCGACAAACCTCCTTTGTGAATTCGGGCCTAATTGTTCGTAGAAACGATAGGAAGTAGGATCTTCGAAACGTCCTTCCCCCTCCAAATAAAAAGAAATGCAACACAGGGCACAAATAGGGTAACATGATGCACTAAACGAGAATGTCTATGAAATACAAAGACTTTCACTCATGAAAGACCACCAAAGGAACTCAAAAGGCAATTAGAATTGCTATCAATGCTATTTGAACCAAATAAAAGAAAATATGTGCATTGAAGAAGAAGGAAAAAACACGTTAATTTTTATAAGTATTACGTAAGGGAAAACATGAGCATAATTGATTGGATTTTAAATTGATGCTCCTTCTTCTTCTTCTTCTTCTTCTCCTTCTTCTTCTTCTCCTTCTTCTTCTTGTTCTTCTTCTTTTTTTCTTTTTCTTCTTCTTCTTCTTTTTCTCTTTCTTTTTCTTCTTCTTTTTCTTCTTCTTTTTCTCCTTCTTTTTCTCCTTCTTTTTCTTCTTCTTTTTCTTCTTCTTTTTCTCCTTCTTTTTCTCCTTTTCTTCTTCTTTTTCTCCTTCTTTTTCTCCTTCTTTTTCTCCTTCTTTTTCTCCTTCTTTTTCTCCTTCTTTTTCTCCTTCTTTTTCTTCTTCTTTTTCTCCTTCTTTTTCTCCTTCTTTTTCTCCTTCTTTTTCTTCTTCTTTTTCTCCTTCTTTTTCTTCTTCTTTTTCTTCTTCTTTTCTTCTTCTTTTGCTTCTTCTTTTTCTCCTTCTTTTTCTCCTTCTTTTTCTTCTTCTTTTTCTCCTTCTTTTTCTCCTTCTTTTTCTCCTTCTTTTTCTCCTTCTTTTTCTACTTCTTTTTCTCCTTCTTTTTCTCCTTCTTTTTCTCCTTCTTTTTCTACTTCTTCATACTCTACTTCTCCATACCCTTTCGTTACAATTTTCGCTCTTCATCTCTTCGTTATATTCATTCTAAGTTCGATTGTTTTCTACTCTTTGTGTTATCTCTGAGTTACCTATATCAAATCCCCGATATTACTTATATTTTGATAGAAAAACGAATAACACCGTAATTTCTTCTTCCGTTAAAATATCAACTGTTAATATTTTATACACTATTATCAGTTTACCGCTGATATGTAGTTATGAGCGGTAAACTGATGATAGTGTAGTTTTGGGGTAGTAGTAGTAGTAGTAAAAATAGTAGTAGTTGTTGAGTTAGATGTAATAGTAAATTAGTAGTAGTAATAGTATAGTGATAGTTGTTGATGTGGTAGTAGTAGTAGTAGTAGTAGTAGTAGTATTAGTAGTAGAAGTAGTATAGTAGTAATAGTAGTATAGTAGTAATAGAGGTATTTATTTTCCGTTCCACCGAGGAAGGATAAAAAATGTCAAATATACACACACAAAAAATAATGAAAGGGCTAGAGACATGTAATCCATTTTCAGCATTGCCAGCCACGACGCGGCTAGTCTATCCTGGGGTCCATAAAAGACAAGCAAATAAAATCTCGATTGTTCGTGTTTTTGTTTGCAATCATGTTCGTGTTTTTGTTTGCAATCAATCTTTTCACCTCTCTTTTTTTTCTTCAAGAACAGTTTCTGAGATCGTTATACGATGGGTGATCACGCACCAACGGAGGTGAAGCGATCATCGAGGGCTTCGACCAGGAGTTCTTCTGCCGAGTATCTAGATGCTGAAGAGAGTCAACTCATCTGGTGCTCCCATATCTTCAATGGTATCCTCTTTGTAAGTCATTATTATTAAGCATGTAGTACGAGGCGGGGCCACCCCCTCCGAACAATGGACGGGGGCTACCCCCTTCCCCCTCAATGACCAATATCAGGGCAACCATCACTTCATTTTCGGACGAGGATTAACAAAAAAAGAAGATTTATATCTTTTCAATTATTTTATACACATGAAACATCATTTTCTCTTAGTGATGGTTGCCTGAAAATTTGAATTTAAAGATTCTCGGGAGGGGAGGGAGGGGGCAGCCTGCACCTTTTGTTACTGTCCATGAAAAAAAAAATCTTTGGAAAATATCAAAATACAAATTGACCAATCCTCTACTAATGCACATAATGCTAATTATACAATCACTATGAACATGATTGTTAGATTTCGATGTTAATTGGATTGGCAGCCTAAGGCAAAACATTTTGGAGGAAGAAAAAAAATCATTTTATTCCCCAACCATATTTCCTTTCCCAACCATATTTTCTTTACAGTGTGCAGGGCTCGGTGCTATATGTGTATGTTTGTGGGTATGGATCGAGCTTTCAAACTACGAGTCACGTGATGGCATCATCGCTCTGATTGGTCCACTCTATTACGTAGCTAACTTCACTCCACTTGCCGAGGGTGGCGCCATTTTCTTCATCATAGCCGTAGGCGCCATAGGACTCTGTTTCAAGTCACGCCGTACACTCGTTTGGGTAAGTATAAATGACAGGAGAATGAACACTGACGTATTTTGGGTGTTACTTGTCACTATGAACATGATGGACAAAGAAAGAGGACAAAATATACAGTTCCTCAGGTAGAAAAAGGAAAATCCCTTCACTGCTATTATGTAAAAATGTGTAGAACAGGTGTCACATGCATATTCACCTGTTCTACACATTTTACATAATAGCAGGGATGTTCCTTTGTCTACCTGAGGAACTGTATAATTTTGTCCTCTCTCTTTGTCCGTCATATTCATAGTGTAAGTTTTGATTTTTCTTGTTTGTTTTTAAGGCAGAGAAGATAAATTAATTTCTAGAAATGTGAATATGAATGAAGGCTTGGAAATGGTAACTTTTCAAAATGATAGTCATGACGATTTTTTTTCCTCCTGTAGATAGTCCTAACAGAGATCATTCCAAGTACCTTTTTGCCATACAATTTACATCAGCTTAAAGCCAATATCAAAAACACCGTTTACCAAGTCTCCAATTTTAAAGTAGTATCGACTGTTCATTTTAAATACATGATGGTCATCAATATGATATATACGTATATGCATGGTTTGTCAATTTGAAGAGAAAATTAGCTTATTAAAATAGCTCGTTCGATTATTTTTTTTCTTCAACTCGATGAGTAAAAGATAATTGCATATCATCACAACTTTGATACGGATTTCGTATAGCGTTTATTTTTTGTGATGGCATCCCCTCATCCCCACCCATCCTCCTTTTTGAGCGAGCATAACAATATGTATAGGCTCGTTGTCGATATACTGACCTGAAGTATTACCTTTAATTTTAAACTGAAATACCTCTCTTTATAATCTGTTTATAATACCGATAACTTGTTAATGCTGGTCTGTTTTTTTGTTTCTTTGCAGTATTTCGGAATGCTGTTTCTCTTATGTACCCTGTCACTGGTCATTGCAATAATATCTTTTACTTTATATTTTGAGGTAAGGATGCTGAAACTGTTCAATTTACAAAAATGCATGAATGTAAAAATTACAGTAGTATTGATTGAAATAACATTGAAATAAACACGCATGTTATTATAAAACACATATATTGAGGAAATCACGCTTAAAATGTATATTAAAGTGAAACCTGTAAAAAAAAACTGAAGGGGGGCAACAGTCTTTATGTACAGGTTTCTATAATACAAGTTTAAACGAGAAACACAGTTCAATGGAAACGATAATAGATGTATTCATAGACAGTTGGTCTTACTGTACATGCGGTCAAAAACAGGTTTGACTGTATAAATCTCGTTGAATTGTAAAAGCAGGTTTATAAGAGCATAATTATATCGTATTGTTTAAACGAAAATATATAAACTATTATAATCTTTTTTTCAAGTGAAAGAATGTAACAGAAAAATATATATATACAGGTTTGTATACCAAATATGCAGTTATTGAGAGAAACTATAATGAAAGTTTCTCCATTGCAAGAAGGATTAAATTGCAAAAGCGGATTAATTTAGGTCTCTTTCATGTGACCAAACTGTTAAGAAGTTTTCTAGAAGACGGTTATTTGATCAATTAATGTAATTACAATAAACGTTGATTATTAAAGTGATTTCTTTATTGATATTGATATATATAAAACATTTGCTCTGCAATAACGACCAACTTGGAATTCTGCTATAGAAAATCATTGTCAGATGGTCGAAGCCATCTTCTTTACAGAGAATTTTGCGCATGTTCTTTTATTTTGTGCTTGCCTAACAAAGCAAAATGCGCCATAATAATGTCCGACCCCAACAAAGGTTGCCCAAACGCTGTGTTTGGACGGTGTTGGTCACATATACCGTTTGAATGAAATTGTTTACTTCCAATACATCAATTTGTTGTGCAAAACTAGATGGTCTGATATACGACCATATATGAAGTTTTCCAATTTGTAATTTGACAAGATCGGTGTTCCATAGGCATAACCACTTGCCTGTATTGAAAAACGGAACAGATTAATAACGTCAAACTTGATTCTTGTCTCTTACAAACGCGACGTCGTCTGGTTTCTTGTTATTTAAATGAACTACATGCAGATATTTTTGTCTAACTGAAGCAATTTTTTTCTCTTCCGTCGCAGTTGAGTGATACCCTCCAAACGTCGATGTCAGATAAAATCGAATCTCAATATGACACGTCAGGCATGGAAGATATTACGCAATACATTGATGTTATACAGAGAGAGGTAAGTCCGCCCATGGGCGTTCTTTGATGATATTTTTATGGGGGGGGGCAGGACTTAAGTTTCGTCTGTTTGGAACCAGGAGGGCGTTAACTTATATACTTTAATACAGACTTAAATCTCTTCTGGCTCTGTATATACAAACATTATTTATATTACTGACAAGGTTCAAGTCAAGTTTGTAATCAAAAGAGATTTTCGTTTTAACATGAATTTCTGTCAAGGCTCAGACGCTCCAAGGATAGACAGGGCGGGAGGGGGGGGGGGTAGCAAAATTGTAAATTGTGAGAATGGCTACCCCGTCAGTACATTATCTGTGGTCATTTTTCATAATTAAGGAATAACAATGTTTAACAATTCAGCTGGTTTGTTTGTTTATTCATATATTTTTAAAATTTATTATTATTTTTTAAAAAGTTTTTTAAAAAATTTATTTTTATTCAACTGCCGGTGTTGCTTTGAAATAAATGAAATATATAGTGAAATGTTTTTTTTTATCGATTTCCATGGGAATAAAAGGAATACTCAGAGGGGGGGGGGAATAGTGTCAGTGTATGTCAATCTTTCACTTTTCCTTATATTTGCTTATTTGCTTGTTTTTGTTTTATATTTTTAAATATTTTATTTTAGTTCCATTGTTGTGGGTCAAAAGGATACGATGACTGGCTATCATCGACATGGATACAAACAAACTCGGGTCAGGGTCAGATCCCATTAGCATGCTGCGTTGAAACTAATGTGACATCGTCATCAACGACGTCATCGTCATCATCAACGTCATCATCGTCGCCGTCGTCTATGATTATCAATGAAACTGCATGTACAAACAGAAGTGGCGATGTAAACCTGTTTCCAAATATGTACATGTACCCAAGGGTAAGGAATTATTTTGTATTTAAACATATATATATATAGAGAGAGAGAGAGAGAGAGATGAAGAAGAGAGAGAGAGAGAGAAAGAAAGAGGGAGAGGAAGACAGAGAGAGAGAGATGATGGAGAGAGAGAGAGAGAGAAAGAAAGAGGGAGAGGAAGACAGACAGAGAGAGAGAGATATCACACTTTTTTATTCCAATTTTGTAATTTTATTTCCAAATTTCCAAAAATATTTAAATTACTTTTCTGTTTAATTTTTTTTTTATATTTTTTTATATGTATCACTTTGTTTATGATCATTAAATTCTAGCCTTTTAAGTGGATTGGTATACAAATAATGGCGTAGTGTGGGAGGTATGGACCAAGTTGAATAGGATTTGGGGAGGGGGTCTTATCAGTTCTCACAGTTTTTTACCCCAAACTCTCTATCTCTCTCGCTGTCCTTTCCCCAGACAAATCTTAATGGACACGTACTTTTTTTAATCCATTTTCATCGCGCAGATAGAAGATGGCACAAGTACAAACGACCCCCAAACCAAAATCCATTGTCCTTTATTAAATATGGAGAAGTCCCACTTTGTGCATTTTAGAATAATCACTGCCAAGTGATAGTGGTGCTTCAATAATTCGTCTTGAAAAGAATATTACCAGCTGTGTAACATATTGTACCGTCGTGCATAAATGAATGATTATTGAAGTTTATAAATTGTTTGACATTCTCTCTCTTTAATATGTTTTTTATTTTTATTTTGACAGGGATGTCATACGTTAATCGAAGCTCCTGTCGCATTACCAATCCTGATATTGGGCGGTATAAGTGCAGCTCTTTTCCTTATTCAAGTAAGTATTATCTTTCATTCTTTAAACAAAGTTAATGGAAAGATAATCTTCCCATTCAATATTCTGATTACTGATATCAGGCCTAAAAAAAAGATGTTGTATTGCTCTTTGCGACCGACCCAATATTTTTGAAATCGACGGTCGGCTTTAAAAAAAAGAATATATATATATTTTTTTAACCGTTTTTCAGAAAAAAAAATGTATTAAGGGATAGTTGAGTTCTGTTGCAGAGGGCGCTACACAAAATAATTTTTATGTGAGATAATGAAAAACTGAGTGTCAAATTTAAAAGAACATAATATTTAAATGACAAAATCATCTTTGTTTGATCATAATCGGTTCAGAGACGGCTGAAATATAACAATTTCTAATACTTGTGTATCACCACAAATATTAGCTATTTTGAAAAATTTGAAAAAACCGTTGGAAAAAACGAAATAACACCTTTATACGTTGTTTTTCAGCCAAATTGAATGCCGATGTTGTTTATTTTTTTTGTTGCATTTTCTTGTTGCTTATATTACGCACAACCAGCCGGCCCATGTATTGTTATTTTTTAATTAATAATTAATTAACGGTCACCGTGTTTTTTCTTTTAGAGGCGCTGAATTGGTATGCTCGTATTGGCTAAATTTCACACATTTTGGGGTCTAAAATTACCTTCATAGCAATTTTAGGTTCTAAAAGGGCACTAGAAAATAAGAATAAGAGCAATAACCATGCATTTTGAAGGCATTTGCGGTCTAAAAACAGAACACAACTATCCCTTTAAGCATTCAACTGAGAAATATATGCTCAAAAAGGGAGTTTAAAAAAAAAAGTATTACGAAGAAAAAAAACAATTTTCCGACCGACTGACCCATGTTTTGGCACCCAAAGGGCAATACAACATCGTTTTGTAAGGCCTCATTATAAGGAGTACACGATAGTGACGACTTTCAGAAAATCAACCTAAAGCAATTTCAATAGCCGAGTGTGTCACCAATTGAAATTTGGGAAATTACAATAATGCATTACTTAATCCGAACATGGTTTATATTTTGATCATCCTAAATAAAATATCCTTCTTTTATTTGTATCTATTCCCCCCCCCCCCCACCCCCCCCCCCTTCAGCTCATAAGCCTTCTCGCCGTGATCAACCTCTTAAAGAAGATGGGGCCGAGATCGCCGGCCCAGATGAAGTTCAGCGAAACGGACACAGCACGTGCGACGCTGGACAAACTGGACTACTGGCTGGACAGGGAGACCGAGGAGATCAAACGACAGAGCGCGAAGAGGAAGAAAAGGGAGGCGAAGAGGAGTCCGAAATCCTGAGTCGCCAAGACATTAATAAACAATCGAACAGTACTACGACGAACTATTTAAAAGATAAAAGGGCGTTGGATGCTGAACGGGGCGTTGTGGCGTGCGCCTGTAATCCAGCTAATAATGGAACTTACAAACTGATTCAGCCGAGTGAGCCGACGACGCAGGTTCGAAACTGAGTCACGTCTTTAGGATGGTAACGTTGAAGGTCGGTCTCCAGACGTAAATAATCATATCTGATGATACACGTCTGTGAAAATTACACACCCACACATTGCTAAACAGTAATCATTTGTAATGCGTCATCGATATGCATACCAGAAAATTATGCATGCAAAGGGGTTGTTGTTTCGGACTAATTCAACCCGGTGGCCGATTGTGGCGCTCAAGGCAATAGCAGTTACATATGATTTGCTGAGATTCATCCATTCGGGTATCCATTCGCTACACATGGGTTGAGAGCAACAGGTGTAGATAAAGTGAATTCGAAACAGTGAGTAGCAAGTTGATGATCATGATGATGTGTGAGATATAAAGCGCCATTAGCGTCAGAACTTCGCGCAACCGGCACATACTGGCGCTAAAGAAAACATGAACGATATTAAACTGTAATCATTATAATGAATATTATTATAATCATTATTATTATCATTTTTATTAAAATTGTTATAATTTTTATTATTGTTATTGGTATCACCATCGTCATCATCATCATTCTCATCCTCATCATTATTCTCATCCTCATCCGTTGTTGATAAAGGACCGTTAAGCTTTTCAAAGAAAATGCAAACAATAAATTTGAAATATACAGGCGGTGCTATAGACATGTTTCTGACAAACGAACTAATGTGAACAAGTAAAACGGACGATAATTGTGGATTTGTATACATGTCGCTCATGTATGATAAATACTTGTCCATTACATCAATGATAATAATATTATAACCGTGCTTCATAATTATGTATACCCCCGGCCCCAATTACTTATTATCTACTTTTGCAACATGTTTACCCGAGAAAATTTGAGAGTTCAATGTTCTTTTAGGCCCCTGGCCCCCCCCCCCACTCAGTGTTATTTAGGGTACGCATATGCGTGTTCCAACCGACCCCCCCCCCCCCCCGGGCGCGGATCCAGGATTTCTTAGGGGAGGGGGCCCAACTTTTTTTTTTTTTGCTCCCGCAAATTTGAAAATCGCGCCGGCCGAAAAGTCGCTCAGTGGGGGGGGGGGGGGGGGGGGGGGTGGGGTACAGAGCACAATTTTTTTTTTTTTTTTTTTTTTTAATCCCGAAAATTTGAAAAACGCGCCGGCCAAAAATTCGCTCAGTGGGGGGGGGGGGGGGGGGGGGGGGGGGGGGGGGGGGGGGGGGGGGGGGGGGGGGGTAGTGAGCACATTTTTTTTTTTTTATCCTCAAAAAAATTTCAATTTGCACCCCCCCCCCCCTTGAGCGCCAGAGGGGGGGGGGGGGCCTAACCCCCAAAAAAGGTAAAAATCACGTGATTTTACATGATTTTTTTCTCAAGGGGGGGGGAAGGGCCCCCCGGGCCCCCCTGGATCCGCCACTGCCCCCCCCCTTTTCAGCAAAAGTCCGATGTGTAAAGTCAATACGGCTCGACCTTTTCTTTTGTATACGAGCCTTTTTCAGCACCCCCCCCCCCCCCTTTTCAGCAAAAGTCCGGTGTGTAAAGTCAATACGGGTCGACCTTTTTCTTTTGTTACGAAAAGGACATTTTGGCAACACGCATGGGGTCCGTCCGTTCTCGGAGTGGGGGGGGGGGGGGCGGGTTTAGGCCGCACATCAATTTTTCACCTAACCGAGTTGAAATCGATTCATAAGTATTTTACTTCGCGGCGAAATGCCCAAAATACCAAAAGACGAAACTATTTTGTCGGACAAATGGGTAATTATTTGTGAAAATTCGACCTAGACACTCGCAATGTATATGCACTCAAGAATTGTATATAGTGATGTTATATGTTATATTTATACTCAATATTATCATTTTCAATTATCACTGTAAAGATGATTGCATGCTCCTTTTTGTAATGTGTATTGTGATTGGAATATTACGATGTACTCGTTTCATCATTAAAGTTTACAATGATGATTACAAGCAATGTAGTTCAAGATGAAAGTTTTGTTTTGTTTGTTCTTTGAAGTTTTCTTCGCGCGTAACACGAGCTAGCGAGGAATTCTGTCGGTAAATTTGGGTTAATATAATAATTAATTATCAAATAAAAAGTAATGTCTCTTTGCGCTTCCAAAGAGCTTTGGAAACTATTACCCTTTAGCTTATTGCTCCGGCAGCCGTTATCAGCACACAGTGCATTTCATTCAATTCAATTCATTTCATTTATTCACTCAATATATAAAAACAGACACATAATATTGTGTATGAAAGCAAGTGACAAATATAAAAAGATGGACATAGTACAACCAGTAGTTGAAAGTACAAATAACAAAAATTGAGTGGGGATCAGTTTAAAGATTTATTTAAAGATTCTGAATTCGACTCCATTGTAATATAAAAATTGCATTGAGTATTGTTGCATGTACAACAACAAGAGGGAGAGAGTACATAAACAGCTGGGTTATAGAGAGGGAGAGAGAGAGAGAGAGACAGAGAGAGACAGAGAGAGACAGAGAGAGACAGAGAGAGAGAGAGGGAGAGGAAGGAAAATTGAGGGAGAGAAAGGCAAGATGAGAAGTAGGGTTAATACATAGGATAAAATTAGACCTAAGCAGAATAATAATTTAAAAAAAACATACAAACCAGGGATATTACAATTAACGCAGACATAAATCTCATCTAATAATCTATCTAATCTAATAATAATAATAATTTCAAGGAATAATCCTACCAGGTACCCATTTACCTCACCTTGGTTGAGTGTGACAAAATCTGTAGATTAATGTCTGCGGCAGGACTCTTGTGTTGGGTAGCCCCTTCAGAAATCTGGCTAATGCTACCGCATGGAGATATCAAATTTATAATATACATGTAATGGACCTACTCTAGTTTTCTTTTTTTTAATTTAAAAAAAGGTTAAATGTACATGTTTTGGCCAGGGGAGGGGGCCCCCGTCCCCACCCATGATAAACATATTTGTTATATTTACATAGAATGACATTGTGCATCTTTTTTTAAATCCAAGATTTATTATAATTATATGAGGGTCTTGTATCTGTGGAGGTCTGTAACTATACTGCTTATTTATTTATTTTTGAATTATAAACACAGGCAAACAACGATGATAGATAAGTGTCAGTGAGAAAGTGAGGGAGTGAGCAGGAATATAACAAAATTAAAAGAATTAATAGAAATAAAAAATAATGTATTGGGAATTTGTCCTTTATTTTTGTTTTTCCATATTCAAGTTTTAAAAGTACTCTATGCCTTACTATGCCTTACAACTGTCCAATTTTACGGTTACTGTCAATCATTATATTTGACCCGAATCAACACATACATGATTTAACAATATATCTTTCATATTTTCTCTGAAACCAAGCAACACAAATCCATTACATATTAAGAAACTGAAACATTTTAAAACTGTTTCCCACCTCAATCCATATCCTGGACACTTCAGTACATATATGACGATGGGTTTCTACATCCTTTCTACAAAAGAAACATAAATTTGACTGTATTAATCCAAAATTATTCAGTTTATTATTACCTCATTGTAGAGGTGTTGTGGTCGAGTGGATACGTCGCCGGACTGTCGATCACACGGTCCGCGGTTCGAGTCCCGCCGCCGCACTAATGTTCTTTGGCAAGACATTGATCTACATTTGCCACACTCCACCCAGGTGAAGTAAATGGGTACCTGGTAGGAATTTATTCCTTGAAATGCTAGAGCGCCGTATGGCAGCCGTGCTAAAGCCAGGGTAATAATCGGGAGCGCCAGGAGGGTCAAATCTGACTGACATGAGCGCTATACAAGAACCCACTATTATTATTAAAATACGATGTTCCGTAAAAGTTTGTACTGAAATTCCCTTAACTTTCCATTTAGATTGGAATATCTGGAGATTGAGAAACATGTTTTAATTGTCATCTTATCTAGATTTAAAGCTATCACCTCTGGATTTTTAAAGGCAAACGAATCTTGTATTGTAGCAATAAAATGTTATAGAGCATTTTGGAAGACACAGACTCAAAAGAATACACTGCTAAAGTAATGTTGGAAAGATCAATAGTGTCATTCAGAGTATCATCTCTCCCTCTTTAAAAGCTCTTAATCTTCCAGGCAGTTGGCACTTTGGGTATAGATCATGAAGAAAAAACAAATCGTCTACATTAAGACCTTTCCTTATGAAATAGTCCCCTGATCTAATTTAATCAAATGTGTAACTTGAAAAATGTTTACATGAAATAATTTTGCATTAAAGGAATTATCCTACCTTCAAAAAATGTATTGTTAAATATAATTTGATTTTCATTATGTGTTTCTTTGACAATATATTCCTTCTCTTTTAAATAATTTCAGATATTCAAAAAGTCCAAGTAGATATTGGGTGCCTTGATATTGATGGTTTTGGAATTATAATTGCAAACAAATATTAATCTTCCTCCTACCACTCTGAATATATATTCGAAAAATTCTTACCATTTCATGTCATTATTGCCACAAACAAGTTTCTTTAATACCCACGACACGCTGTGCATAAAGCATGATCTTTAAATTCGACATTTTCAATCCCCCAGTATCGTAGTTCAAGTATAAAATATTCCTTTTATCTTATCATGTCCATTCCATATAAAATTAAAGCGCATCTCCTCAACTTCCTCGAAAACCGTTGATGGTACTGACATTATAGAAGACACATATAGTAATTTAGAGATTGCAAAAACTTTAACCAATTAAATCCCGTTGCTTCTACAACCCTAACAATCTTGTTATTTTGCTCAGTATTTTTTAATTATTCATTTCTTCTTTAACATTAATATCCAAAGAAAAGTATACCCCAAGCACCTTTACCAGAGAAACCATCTTACCCGGTGTAATACCAGTCAAATTTTCATTACTGTAACTAGAAGACCCAAGCTTCATGATTTGTGCTTTGTCCCTATTAATTTATAATACAGACACCTGAGAGAAGGAATCCATTATTTTTCTGAGATTTTTTTATATCGATTAAGCATATAGATTTTATATGGAATATTATCCATGTTTATATATATATATTAGAGTTTACGTGTTGGCTTGACGAGACAGAAATAATAAGTGAAGACTCATGTAATGCATTTTAGCATACATTTTATACAATATGTAAAGATATACGTATACACAATGATAATCAACACAAAGTCTATGCATGTATTTAAAGTTCAAAGTCGTACGGTCAACATATACGCATACGCATACATTGTAAAAACAAAAAAATAATAATTTCCTCATCCACTTTATCACCATTCTGAAATACGAGAATATGTTTCGCCTACTTTCGTATGCGGTCTTGATTGAAGTCTACGAATGCAACCTAATTGGCAGACGCTCTTTTTGTGACGCCAGAGGTCAAAGTCAAAGACTCATGCATATTTATATCCTGTTCGCCATA